AGTGATTATTGGACCTTTAAAGAGTATTTTTAGGAAGTTTCAGCTGAATCCAAGTTTGAGCGATTTTCGTCGTAGTAGCACTTTAATGCACATTACACTACTGAGTCTGTGTATGTTGCTTACGATTCCAATTATGACGCTTGGGAAGCAGGCTTTTAGAGTCATTAACGAGAGGCCTATAGTTGAAAAAGTTAAGGTAGTAAACATGTTTCCATGATAACTAAACAAGTCACATCCAATTTTCCTACATGTTTTGATGATAATTTTTTCATTTTCCTTTGAAAATAGTTTTGAGGGGTATGTTCCCCTTTACTAATTATGATTTTAAAATATATGTTAAAAAATTATAATTTGAATATTCTTCATTAGAATACTTCAAGTGCAGAAAAAGAACAAACTATTGCAATATTAAAAACAAGACAGAACCAGTATAAAGTAGCTGCCCTGACGTGCAAAAGGTCTGGCAATATCGCACAAGCCAAGCAGTTTCTTGTGGTTTCAAAGGTGTGGATAATGATGTTTACTTGACATGTATCATATTACTTTCTCACTTGTGCTTTCTCACTTGTTGTGTTCATTTTTGCTGTAGCAAATTGGTGCCATGATGGAAAGTGTCTCCAATGATCAGGATGTTGACATATCAACCTTGCCACCTGAACCTACTCTTGCTTCTCCAGGTATTAACTGTAAATAATATCCTAATAATTATCTGTAATAATGCTTACTTGTATCTGTAGCAGTAAATTATAGATATTCATGATGCACATCATCATGATTGCCACATAATTATCATTAAAAATATCCTCCAAAGCAAGGGAATCTACTATTTTACTCAGGATATCTTGACCCCTGCTATTTTAAACCTTTTTTCTAGTCTCCTGGAGGTTTAAGATAACAGGACTTTACTGTATTTGTAAATCATATCCAGAGCTCCACATTTTATTTGTGATTGATCTAAGTTATTTGTAACATACTGTACGCTGATTATTGCACCTATTAATCTTCTAGCTAAACCTAAACCAGAAACAGAGTCCAGACAACAGTCAGGTAGCCCTACATCAGAACCCCAACCAGGACCAAGTACACAGCCTGACCAGCCAAGCCAGTCCAATAACATGGGGATCCCACCACCACCAAAGGATGTCAATGAAGCTCTTCAGCAGAGACTGGAAAAGTACCAGCAGGCAGCAAACAAAGCCAAGGAGGAAGGAAATAGCAGTAAGGCTAGAAGAATGGGAAGAATCGTGAAGGTAGGTCACTCTGATATTAACCATTTTGAGGTTGAGGGAAAAACTGGGTCAAGTTGGCTTTGCAGTGCATCATGGTCTCTTTTAGGGGACAAAATAGGGGCTATCTTGGAAACAACCTCGCAATGGCTTATACAAGTCATCACATCAGTATGCCTTTTTATATTACATGCTTTTCAAGTTACTTATATTATCCCAGTCATTTTTGCTCACTTCCTAACCCAACCTAATCTCCTATGCAGCCGCTATTAGTGTCGTCACGCAATGCTCACTCCCGCTACTTAGGGGAATGAGCGTTGCGTGACGACACTAATAGCGGCTGCGTAGGAGACTAAACCCAACCTAACTCAAACTACATTTATAGTTTCCTCACAGTTGTTTTGCAATACTCAAACTCTCACACCCCCACCCCCCCAAAGAATTTGATATTCACCCAAATGCCTTCATATGTGAAAGCCCACTTTCATYAATAAATAATAGATAATTATTATTTGTTATTAATTAGTAATTAGTTATCATATGCATTTGCAGCAATATGAAGATGCAATAAAGGCTTACAAAGCAGGACGGCATGTTGATTTTGAAGAACTGCCAACTCCACCTGGATTTGAAGATATACCACTTCCTGGAAATGCAGCACCCAAACCAAGTGCCCAGGTAATTACYGGTACTTCACTTGCAGTACAAGCTTTTCTGGAGATATAGAGATGTGTTGCTTAAATGTGGCTGTTTGAGGGAGGCTTCATCAGTCAGTTGACATTTTATGCATCAAGGAACAAAAGAATTTTGACAAAATTAACATGGCAATTAAGGTTTCCTTTTACTTATCACTATCAGGAATCAAAAAAGATGGCATATGAGTATTAAAAGCATCTCCTAAATGGCTCCATGATGCAATGTGTTCTGCRACTCTAAAGAGGCTAATGCTTACTAACAGACCTTTTCACCGATACAGCAGCCATCTCGAATTCTATTGTTTTAATTAACACATTATGGGATGCTTGAGGAGGCAACTATTGGAAAATTTATAGACTACACAGCTGTCAGGATGTCATTTTACATAACTTTACGCTTTTCTATGAGAAGCACATCTAAAATGCAATCGAATTGGCAGGTCTTTTTCATTTTTCTTTCCTTTGATGTGAACAGGCAGAGGGACCAGCCACTACCTCTGAGCCACAGGCACTCAAAGTACGAATACCACAACCAGCAGCACAGATGCCACCACAGCAACAGCATGGCTCACTTAACAGGCAAGGACGCAATGAGCAGCAGTTGAATTTTCTGTTAGAAAGGCAAAAGGAATTTAAGACAGCTGCACTGAAGGCTAAGAAGCAAGGAGACATTGAGGAGGCAAAGAAGTGGTTGAGAATGTCAAAGGTATGGTTAGGTTTATGGTGATATTCCAATTTAGCATGCATCAGCTCCTATATTTGAGTATTAAATTTTGAAATCTTAGTCCCCACTACACCACCCGCTTCTAGTGATCCACAGTCCTTGATACAGTAGACGTGGCAAGTTTGCAAACCAAGTCAGTGGATGTTTTAGCCTTCAAACCTTAAGAATGATGACCTCAGGGTTCATCAAAGTCTAGGCTTGGCTAACTCACACGTTGAATAAAAATTTGGTGTTGTAGGTTTTTCAGAGCCTGTGGGAAAAACTGTAAAACTGGAGACTAATAAACTCTAATATGCTCATGTGGTGATGAGTCCAGGAATCAAACCTGAGACTTCAGAGGTGATACATTGTGGGCAAGTGCACCACCACTGCGTCATCCTTGATAGATATAAGGTTTACTGTATTTTGATTTGTATTTTGGCAGGGGCTTGATCCAATGATTGAGAATGCCAGCAATGGAATGAGAGTTGATCTTTTATCTGTAAGTATACACTCAATTGAAGAATTTATTGTTGTCGGGTTTAGAAACATAGAACATAGAAGCTGAGACCGAAATGGCACATGGGAAGTACGTTAATTAGATGCATGCTGTGACCGGCGACCTGTGGCATCATCCACTGTTTTTATGTGTTTTTGTTATGTGTTTTTGTGTGAAAATGTTGCCAAAAAAGTAACTCTAGTTTTGTTTTGTGTCTGTTACAGGTTCCTCTGTCACCACTAACATCCCAAGGACCAGCACCCACTGCGTCTGCTAACTTTGTCATGATAGAGACAAAGGACTGTATGCCGAACCCAAGAACACCTGAAGAAATAACAGAACTGTATGCAAGACTGGAAGATTGTCTTATCAAACAGACCGAGGTGTGTGCTATCTCAATTCTGGTTTTAACTTGCATCAGAATCAGACTTGGAAGCAGTCCAAGGATGAAATGGCTTGTAATACGCACAAGCCAAGGGAAAAAACCCTCCCCATTCCAGTTCTGATGCACTTCCAACTTTGATTACAACTTCTTCGCTCCTTAGTGAAAACTATCCTCTATCGAAGCTGTTGACTGTGCAAAGATACAATTGTATGCTACGATTCCTTCCAGAAAAGAGATTAGTCTTGGATCATTTATGCAACAGTGTTAACTAAATGACTTCTCTACCTCCTCACCCTCCCCCCTCCCAATATATTTTCAAGCCAACATTGCTGCTACAAAAGAGTTGAGACACTTCTTGAAGCCCCTTCTCATTAGCATCTCTGTCTGCAGTCAATTTTTGGGCTGTATTCCTAGTTAGTATGAATCCTTTTATTTTTATTTTACAGATGTGTATAAAGAATGGCAAACATTACCAGCAACTAGGAGATTTAAGTAGTGCTAAAATGTGAGTTCAGCTATTTCAAAAAAGGTTGAATACTGAATATTGCATACTGAATAGTGCATTCCAAGACCGAAGTGCATTGTGGGTTTCGTTAATTTGAAATTAAAAGTAAATATACAGCAATTAACTCTCTACATGTAGTTAGTATATTGTTTCAGATGGAATACACTTAAAATAGAGTAAATAATTATTATTAATCCTACTTTAGACAATGTCACTATGACCCACAATGCACTTCGGTCTTGGAATGCACTATTTAGTATGCAGCATTCAGTATTCAACCTTTTTTGAAATAGCTGTATGCAAAGTCATATCGAAACATCATTGAAGAAGTGTGTTAAAAAAGGCAGTTGTTTTTTAACCACCTTTGAGGTATTTTTGTAGTCATTGAAGCACTTCCATGTATTTGATATGGCTTCTCATACCATAAATATTTTTTTGAGAAATCAAAGTAAAAGTTGTCAAAAAAAAGAATCAAAGCAAAAGTTGGTGCAATACCACCATGGAAGTGATTTACCGCCATTTGCATTGCTACGCGGCCACCGCAGACAAAAATCGCAACGTGYACTTTGCAATAGACTGCTGTCAATCAAACACGTTGACGTCATTTAAACGCGTTTGGATCGGCCCGGAGAGCGTGGCTGATAATACTTGTAAACAATCGACAAGTTTTGGTGCCTTTTGAATCAAACTCGCGTGTAAATGGCGTCAACGTGTTTGATTGACGGCAGTCTATTGCAAAGTGCACGTCGCAATTTTTGTCTGGGTTGGCCGCAAAGCGAATGGCGGTAACTTTGTAGTGTCCTAATTTTAAAAACTTCCAACTTTTTACAATTACAATCAGGGCACAGCTAACTCCCAGATCAAAACCCTTAAAACAACCTTTGGGCTGATTAAAGTCAGGAAATGAACCTGAGGCCCCAGAGACAAGTGTGTCTACTTTGAGTCCTATTCTAATGTTAAAATGAAATGTAATTTTACTAGGTATGACAAGATGGCCAAAAGCCTTCATCAAGATCTAGATGCCGTTAAAAGTGCAAAGAAGCATAAAGACCCACCCCCGAAATTCCACTATGAGGACAAGACATTTACTGTTGTTAAGTAAGTACATAACATTGATGAGGAGGGAGGGGTGGGGTGGGGTCCCGGGGGAAAGGTGTACCCTGTTTATGACAAAAGATAAAGTTTATTGCACTGAGTTCCTGTTTCATGTCATCTCACGTATCGTTTTTTTAAGACCATAATAACCAGTTTCGGTCAATAGGAAAGTAGAATCCCTGAATATGACAAGAAACTCCGGAAGAACTTGGAACTTGAGTGAAATTGCATACCCTGTTTATGACAAGAAGCTCGAAAAACCATACCCTGTTCAGCGGATCATCCCCGTATAGTCCATATATGGGAGTACCCCCCGGGATTAGGGTGAGTGGGGTGAGAGGGGAGGGGTGATTTGACCTCTTATACCTGTTACAGTGTGACCCATGCTACCGTGGTGACCCAAATTAACTTTCTCCACACATTAGTAAACGAAAAACTTTTAGTTTTAGAGTTTTAGATTTACGTTAATGGCAAACATCAAACGTCAGTTGACCAGAAAAAAATATTTTAAATTACTGGGAAAAAAAATGCAAAAAATCCAAGTAGTAGAAAAACAAAAGAGTATTTGTCTTTGGTGAGAAAGTTTGCAAGAGGTAAAGTGAAATACTGGAAAATGATGAAAACGTGGTGACGTTTGCCGTTTGCAGGAAGGAAAAAGTCAATCTTTAACTCTCTAGCTTTCAAATTACTCCAATCAGTCTTATCAGCAGAAATTTCGTTTGCCCCTCAATATTTCCTAAGTCATTTGATTATGAAATCAGTATTAATGTATAAGGTATATGATTTTTGATTCTTTATTGATTATCTTATGCGTATTTCAGCTCCTTTTCAGAACTTAGTAATTCAGAAGTTGAAATAGAGGTTGTTAGATGTCTTAATGTGCCACTTCCATCAGGTACGTAACATATTGCTACGAATTTAAGTTCTTTTACATCTTCACTTGAATTGTTTGGTCAGGAAGGAAAGTGCTAGGAAATGTTTTTCCTTTCCTTTCTTCATTTTCATTTCATTCCCTTGTCTTTCCTTTCTTTTGCTTCTCCATAATCTTTCTTTTTCTTGTCTTTCCATTCTTTTACTTTTTTCTCAATCTTTCCTTTCCTTTTTCTATCCTTGTCTTGTCTCACTTCTCCTCACCTCACCTCACGTCCAGGGTCATGTAATCCAACATACTCAGCTAGTTACCCATCTCTTTACAGGTTATTCTGCTAAAGATATGTACACTTACGTTGCCTTCGAGTTCCCTTATCCTAACGTAAGTATTTGCTACATAAGAAAGTATTTCCCATTACTCATCCA